GCTCTTTGGAAATTCACCATGAAATATTAAGTGACAAAGGGCATGATGTAAGACATGGAGAGAGGGAGAAAGGAAATGTAGCAAACCTTAAAAGTTGGTGAATCTGGACATAAGCTATTTGGAAGTTCTCTGCACTGTATTCTATTTATTTATTTGTCAGAGCGAAAGAGCACAAAGCAGGGGGAGTGGCAGGCAGAGAGGGAGAAGCAGATTCCCCGCTGAGCAGGGAGCCCGACGTGGGGCTCGATCCCAGAACCCTGGGATCATGACCTGAGCTGAAGGCAGACGCCTAACCAACTGAGCCACCCAGGCGCCCCTGTCCTTGAAATCTTAAAATGTTCTGTTAGTGGGGAATTACTTCGAACTAAAAAGTGCCCAAAAAAGTCAACAAAGACTATCTTATTCATCTTCCTACGTCTTCTCTGCCTCAGCAGGCCTGGGATATGTTTGTAAAAGAAATCTGGAGGAGAAGGAGTGTGGGATTAATGGGATCTGGGACCTATGGTTCCTTCTGCTTCATCGAAGGGACTGCCTATCCTTATATGTGTCTGAGTCACGTTGGAAGCAGGTGTGTTGGCTCATCACCCTTTGGCCCCCTGCTGCTGTTTGCACTTGGCATAAAGGTGCATCACCTGCATCCAGCCGGTGGTGTATGATGGCAAGCTGCTGAGGGAGGGCTGACAGAGGGAAAAACCGGCAGGGCAGGTCCTGGGAGGTCAGAACACCACTGAGATAATTGTCTTGCTGACACTCACCCTTCCTTCTGATGCTTTCAGAGGCTAGAGCTTTTCACAGCCAGTAACTAGCTCTTACTTTCAATTTTAGGACACAGCCAGAGTAACTGAGCATCCACTATACAAATCATCTGCACCCCACAGCACGGTGGTGTTCTGTTATAATCTGCTGGAGGGGATGGGTGGTAGCATGGCAAGGGCCAACCTGCTTTGCATACCTCGGTTTTCCTGGATGGCTCCCACCTGCAAATCATTGACTTCGAGCAATACTGCTCTCCTAAGTGGGGATGATCCCAGTGACATTTTTTCTCTTAAAAAACATCAATTGTGACAAATCCTTGTGTTGCAACAGGCTACCACTATGGCCAATGACATCCTTAGCCACATGATCAAATGTCAGTACATACCAGTGGCTCTGCGGTCAGCAAATGATGAACCATCCCAACAAGAACAAGTAAAAAAGACTTGTCTCTTTTCAGAGAACAGAACTTTCACAAGAATTTCCCGGACAGAAAGAAAAAGGTCAGCAGTGAGGTTCCCTATGGGCTGTCATGGTCATGCGGGTGAGGGCAGTCAGACTCTGTTGTGGTCCGGCCCAGTGACCAGCTCAGGGCCTTCCCGCCAAGAGCACCCGAGACTCACCTTTGGTACTGAGCTGTGAAAGTCAGATTCCCTTTGGGAAAAGCAGGCAACTCCCACTGTAGAACGTTCTTGAAATTAACTGACTTCATTCTGACGTTTTCAGGAGGTGGCACAATTCCTAATGCTGTAAAAATAAAAGGGAAAAGTCTGCATCTTTGTTCCTCAAAAAAGTTGCACAAGTAAATGACTATATCCAACACTTGGGTCTCCCCTATGGCTCCATGTCTTCAAATGGGCATGTGGGTGAAGGAAAAAAGGACACACATTATCTGTACTAAGGAGTCTGGATTTTATCTGAAGAACTGCTGGGGTGCGGGGGCTGTTGGAGGTTGGGGTGGGACAGACAGCAAGAGTGAAGTGGGGACAGATAGGGGTGGTGGGAGAAAGGGGGGGTAGATGGATTTTAGATATATTTCCAGAGGTACACACTCTAGACTTGCTGATACTTTTGGTGTGGAGAAGTTAATATTCATTCCTGGCTTAAGCATCTGATGCCGGTTGGGGCTGGGGGCAAGGACATCAACAGTCCCATTTTAGCTGCATTAGGTCTGAGATGCTGCAGAGAGATGCACACAGGAATGTCCCAGACAGCTGGAGAAAGGAGCCTGCGCGTAAAGGAGAGATCTGGGCTAGAGGTAGAAATCATTTTTAAACTTTTTAATAGAAAATATCAAACATAAACAAAAGCAGACGGAAGAGTATGATAAACCACCACCGGCCCATGACCCAAGGGTGCCAACAGAGATTCACATTTGAGTCACGGGCCTATAGCTGGGTTCTGCTGGTATCCCCTACAGGGATAGCGAGAGGGGAGGGTGGAGGGCCTGGGCAAGAACTGGGCTATACAGAGATCTGGCAGAGGTGGAAGATGCTAGGTAGAAACAGCCTGAGAGGTAGGAGGAGAACCAGGAGCCTGTGGTATCCTGGAAGGCCGGGGATGAATTCATCAGAAAGCAAGGAGGGGCCCATCGTTGTTGGAACCCGGGCAGGAAATTTAGAGGAGGGCAGAAAAGGTTTCAGTGGATTTAGAACTCCGAAGGCACAGAGCTGTGGAGTTAGTTGAGGGGCAGACCTCAGACGTTGGGGTGCTGAGTACTGAATGGGAAGCCCTGACGGCCGGACCCGGCACCCGATCACTTCCAGTGCGCTTCTGGGGTGCGCTCAGGGTTCGCCTTGGGGCCATCGCTGCCGGCATCGTAGCTCGGCCTTCAGTTCCCAAGCGCACGTCGGGCCGTCGTCCCCTCCCCGCGGACCCCTCACCTGACATCAGGAGGCAGCCGCCCAGCCAGCTCCGCAGGCTCCGCGGCATGGCCGCGCCGGGAGCCGGGAGGGCGCTCGGGGGGGTGGGGGTGGGGCGCGGCAGCCGCCGGGCAAGCGCCCCCGAGCCTGCGCCCCGAAGAGCTGGCGGGTCCTCCCCACCCCGCGCGGAGGCCGCTTCCGGGTACTGGAGGGGCGGGGCGGGGCCAGACCCCGCCCCCTTCCTGGGCCCCGCCCCGGCCGGAGTCCACCGCCGCGCTTTGCTGGGGGAGAGGGCGGTGTCCCGGGGGCCTGGCGGGTGGTAGGGAGACGCGGAGGGAGGGGACCTTGCTTCCCCCAAAGGGGGGGGTGCAAAAGCCTAGTAGCAAAACTATTCGTACAGTGCCCCGATTGGGTAGACGCCTCCCCCAACATTAAATGCATGCTTTTCCAAGTTAAATAAATACACTACAACGCCGACCCAGAGGTTCTATCTGGGGTTATGGGTGGTGGTGGTTTTTCTTGACACCATTCAGTATTCCGCAAGTTTTCTCCAGTGAAAACTTTCTCCAAGTTTTCTCTATGTTCCCCTCTCCCCGCAAATAGGTTGATTTTAAAGCTCTCCATTAGCAAAGACAGTTTGAAAGGGTCTTCTTTACCCCCTCCCACCCAGGGATAAACACCACAAAACCAAGTCATTTATGGGGCAAAAACTTGTTACTCTCACAAGACTGCTTCAGAGAAGTTTAATTTCCTCTTTCAAAGCTTGGGCAGTGGTGAGGTTGGAAAACCCAGAGCAGGATAAATACAGAGTGATGTAAGGCACTGCTTGAGGTCTGACCACCAGGAACACAGTCCCTGGGGATGAATGTTCCCTTGGCCCCTACTGGCATTGGCACACAGAGGGACTTTTGTTTAACCCTAGAGATGCCAGCAGAACCACAAAGTGGCTGCATTTTTACACTCTCTAATGAGAAACAACTCTGAGGACATTACCAAGTTTGTATTAAAAAGTATTTATCCTTCACCAACTTCAATTACACAAAATATAAAACACACACACACACACACAAAAGCTGCCATAAAAAGGGTATTCCAAAAGATCACTCTGGAAAGCTTTCAAAATATGAGAGATGATTTAAGAGGGGAGAGAATAGAACTGGTCACATGAAAAAGTCCCTTTCCTATGGAATTTCATCATGTCATTAAATAATCCCTTCTCCTCTCACATCCTTCTCCTTTGAGTTACTTTTGAACAGTTATAAAAATAATCTCTTCAAAGTCCTTGAACTAGGACACATAATAGTTGTTTTCCCCCTTTTGAATTGATCTAGAACAAAGGTCTGAGAAGCCTGCTCTTGGGGCGAGTGGAATGAGATAGGAGGTCCCATAGAGTTGATTCACCCCGGGGTGTTCTCAGGGTTGTAGCACCTCCACTGGAGTCTTCATTCCTGTGTATTTTCTAATATTTCTCCTAGCACCACAGGATCTTGGAGATTACCTAGTCCAATCCTTTTATTTCCTAAATGAAGAAACTGAGGCTCAGAGAGGCTAAGCAAAGTACCCAGGGTCACACAGGGAAATAGCAGCAGAGTCAGACCCGAGCCCCAGTTCTTGTCTGGTTTGCTACATGATGTTCTAGAACTTCCCTCCCTCCCCACCCCCCACAGGAACTCTGGTCCCACATAGGACACTTGGAATCAGCACACACATCACTTCTTAAATTGTTAAATAGGCTCTCCAGGAATTTTGTGACTTATCTCTTCTGAAGACCTTGAAACAATTTTGCATTTGTTCTCGTTTTCTTTTTTTTTAATTTTAAAATTTGGCACTGAGATTCTATCCCCCTCTCTCATGCAAGTGTTTCCTATTAGTCACCTGCCTGATGCTAGAGTTTATTGATGTGTGTGAGTTTGTCTTCCTCACTCAAACTGAGAAGGGCTGGCCAAGTGGCCAAGAGCCGAATTCTCTGAGCGTAGGTGACAGAATGTGACAGGTGGGAGGAGCCCTAGACTGGGCTGGACTTTCCCTCCTTCCGACATGTGTTTCTGTTTCTTTGTGGGTCCCCTGCCTTTCCCTCTGGCCGCCTTCCCTTCCTTCTCTTTTCCTGCCTGCTTTCTGGCTCCTTCCTTGAGCCTGCTGGACTCAACACTGCAGACTGCTCCTGCACCTGCTCAGAACCCTGCTGAGTGTCTTTCTTAGCTTTCCCCACTCCCACCCTGGCTAATTTCATTATTTCCCAGAAATCTCGCAGGGCCCTGGACCACCCCTGCAAACCACATGTAAACAACGCACTGAAGGATCCACAGGTCGGGTTCCGACTCACCTCCCACACTGGTTATTTGCATATAATTTGCATAGATGACGTCACCAGGCCCCCGCCCCCCAGGAGCCGGCCACAGTCTCCAACACCTTCCCTGGGGAACATTGCAGACCACAAGGGAGGAAGTGACAGTGCAGGGGGGGGAATCCCTGAAGGTATTGGTCAGTCCACGTTCATTAAATATTTTGGGGGTTCATCTCATTATATAGCCGTCCCCGATGTCAATATCCGACTCAGAACTGTCACTTTTATCAGAAAGCACATCTTCAGGCCACGGGCACTCTGCAGAGGGGGTGGGGGAGGGTGGCTGTGTCCCTTCCCCGTGGGCCGCCAGAAAACTTGTTTCCAGTTGGTGGGAATCGTCTGGGTCGAACGTCTCTTCTGGAAAACTTGGTAACCCTGGAGGGACTTCCGAATCGTCATCGAGGGCGCTCACGAACACAGAGCTTAGATTTACATTGAAGATAATTTTGTCCCCGGCCTCTTCCGTGGAGCTACTGTCCTCCTCGGAAAGGGGGTCCTGTAGCAGCTTCCCTCCCCTCTCGTAGGCCCCACTTGTGCATTCCGACCACCCGGGGCAGGGCCCTGGTGTCATCAGGGGCTCAGAGTCCCGCTCGGACAGGTCAGGCTCCTCAGGGTCGGGCTCCAGGCAGTCCCCGCACGTGGCCAAGGAGGCAGAGGTGGGACGGAGAAGCCCACCCATTAGCCCATGCCTGGTATAGCCACCGGTGCTTGTCACAGGGGCTGCGGCTTCATCATTGCTGTCACTCTCATCGTCGTAATTGTAATTCCACACCTTCTTCTTCCTGTTAACGTGAATCACCTCCACGAAAGCCACTGCTTCCACTGGTGGCATCTCAGGGATAACCCAGGCTGACAAGTTGTAAAGATTCTTAAAAAAGAGAGAGAGGGAGAGAGAGAGAGAAAGTATCAATTCTGTTTGTTCTGAACTTTTTGACATAATAAAACTCAGTAACAAGAGCTAACAGTTACGTAGTGTATACTTACTATTTGCCGGGCACTGGTCCTAGTGCTTACGTGTTATAATGCATTTTACCCTCACAACCGTGCCATGAAGTGGGCTTACGCTTCTTCTCCCCATTTTACAGGTGAGAAAACGAGGTCGAGAGGTAAAGAAACTTGCCTAAGCTTCATGAATAGTGAGTGGGGGAGGCTGGATTTCAAGCTAGGTAGGCTGCCTGCAGCAGGGACGAGGTTCTGGCTTCTACTCCTTCCTACCCCGCTCCCCTCGCTGCTTCTTGCATGTCAGGGGCATCGATCCATTTAGATTCTGGATTGCCAATACATTCTTGAGGGGTGTCAGGGAACCGTGGGTGAGGAAGTCACTAGGGAGCCGATTCCATTGGGGTTCCCTGGACTGGAGGACCTCAAAGATGGAGAAGATCCCTAAAGAGTCAGGGGGTGAGAATGTCAAGACTCACAGAGCTCATTCTGTTCCAGCTCTTGGAACAGAACACAGCCGGGATACAGCTGAGCAGGGCGAGTGCTGGAGAATACAAGGCTCAGCTGAGCCTTGCGCTGTTGGTGGATTCTGTCTCTAGGACAACTACAGTGAGGCTAATGGGGAGGAGGTGGTCAATCCTGAATCATCGGCACCGTCCTCCTGTCTATTCTCCTATGCCTACCTGGGTTGACCAATTTGACAAACCTGCTCTTCCCCTACTACCCAACCCAGCCTTGGGGTGAATTTTTCTATCGGGTTGTTCATCTTTTTTCTTATTGATTCATAGGAGCTCTTTATATAATCTGGATGCTGATTATTTATGTTATTATGATTATTTGTTACATATATTTTCCCCTAGCCTGTGGTTTATTGCTTTACATCATCAATGACATTCGATGAAAAGAAATTCTTAATGTTAATGTAAAAAAAAAAGTATCAATGTTCTTCCTTTATGGTTCTGCTTTTTGTGTCGGAGGGAATCTTCCTTACCCCAATGTCCTGTAGAATCTCCTATCGTGCCCCCTAAACCTTTAACAGTTTTGCCTTTCACAGTAGTCTTTAATATACCTGGAACTGATATTTGTGTATGGTGTGAGGTAGAGACCCAATTTCATTTTCTCCCAAATAGATACATTTATTGACCAGCCAATTCTTTCCCCATGGCAATATCTACTCATCATTAGTCATGTTTCCATATGTGTGGGTCTGGTTCTGGGCTCTCTACTTGACCAAATCTTTGTTACTGTCTTTCGATAAGGTTTTATAATTTTCTCCACAAAGGACCTGTAAGGTCTTTTATTAGATTGATTTCTTAAATGTTTTAAGAATATTTTTTATTACTACTGTAATGGTATTTTTATTTTTATTTATTAAAAAAATTTTTAAAGATTTTATTTATCCATATGAGAGAGAGTGAGTGAGCGAGCAAGAGAGCACGAGCGGTGGGGAAGGGCAGAGAGAGAAGCAGACTCCCTGCTGAGCAGGGAGCCAGATGTGGGGCTCAACACCAGGATCCCGAGATCATGACCTGAGCGAGCTGAAGGCAGATGTTTGACCAAATGAGCCACCCAGGTGCCCCTGAAATGGTATTTTTAAAAAACTATAGGATTCCACTTAACTGTAGGATTCCAAGTTCAAAACCAGGTAAAACTAATCTACGCTGTTAGTAATCAGGACAGTGGTTATTCTTGGTGGGGGGGTACTTACTAGAAGGTGTCAGGAGAGAGACTTCTGGGCAGGCTGATTATAGTCTCTTTCTCGATTTAGGCATGAGTTACATGGATGCAGTGAGTTTGTGAAAATTCACAGAGTTTTACACTATAATTTGTGTATTTAATTTCTTGGAAGTTGAAAAGCAGCTTCATGTTTATTTTTATTTTGATTATTTCATATGTACCAACTCTGTTAAACTTATTAATCTTAATAATTGATCTCTAGATTCATGTGAAGTTTTTACTTCACCGGTTATATCATCTATAAATTCTTCTTCTTTTTTTTTTTTTTTTGGCCGGGCACTTGGCGCCAGAAGTGAGAGCCCCTTGGGGCTATAAGTTATCATTGTCTCTACCCTTACTCCTCAGACTTTAAGATCTAGGAGGGCAGGATTTTCCCTCTGTTTTGTTCACTTTTGTATCCCTAGTGCCTAGAGCATGTGGACACATGGTAGGTACTCAATAAATATTTATTAAATGCAAACACCAAAAAAAAAACAACCCAAAAAAACGAAAGAAGAAAAAAAATTAAAAAGATGCCATTAAAAATTTTTAACATGTATTCTTGAGTAAACACATATACACAAATACACTAGGCATTGAGTGTTCTGTTTTGCCATTCCTAGAGTTTTACTTTTTTTAGTCATTTACCCTTTTTCCTTTCATTTTTTTGTTATTTTTTTATTACATTCAGTTAGCCGCTGTATAGTATACATTATTAGTTTTTGATGTAGTGTTCAATGATTCGTTAGTTGCACATAACACCCAGTTCTCATCACAACACATGCCCTCCTTAATACCCATCACCCGGTTACCCCATCCTCCCACCCCCTCCCTTCTGTAACCCTCAGTTTGTTTCCCCACGTCTATAGTCAGAGTAACAATTTTTAATGGAGGAATACTAGAAAGACACAAGGTATCATCACCTCCTCCCAGTACCTGGGTCAACACAATAAATAATGGGGGTGTGTGTGTGTGTATATATATATATATTTACTTAGCATATAATTTGGATGCAGGCGGGGGGAGGAACTCCAGGGAGACCTGGAGGGAGGATTAGTAACCAGTTTAGGTAATCCAGGCAGGAATTTATCTAGGAGGGAATGGGTGTAGTGCGAAAGGCCTTTTTATCTTGAGACTGTGGTGAGAAATAGGAATTGGAGTAGGATTTGCCTAAGACCAAAGATATTTTACACTAAGGATAAAAAAATGTCCATTCTTGGAGTGCCTGGGTGGCTCAGTCGGTTAAGCGTCTGACTCTTGGTTTCAGCTCAGGTCATGATCTCAGGGTCATGGGACAGAGCCCTGCCCTGGGCTCCCCAGTCAGTGGGGAGTCTGCTTGAGATTCTTCCTCTCCCTCTGCGCCTCCCTGCTTTGCGCACCCATGCATGCTCTGCTCCCCCTTTCTAAAATAAATAAATTAATTTAAAAAAATGTCCATTCTTGAAAGGCAGGGATCACAGTGTGGATGAAACGCAGTACAGAGCCATCTACATCTCCTAAGGCACAGCCAAATGCTGACTGGGTTCAAATACCAGTTGTAATTAAAATCTCCCAAAGCACAAACACTCTACCCAATAAACAATCCCTCCCCCAACTGGAACAAATAAGAACAAGGAAAAGAAGAGTATAATTTTATCGACTGTGGAGGAATATTTAAATATGTGGTTGTTAAAAAAATGAGAAAGAAAAGGTGAAATGAGTTCAGAGCAACATGAGATCTTTCTGACTCAAAAATCATAGGACGAATATGGAAAGACAGCAATGGGATAGAGAAAATGATACATAATGGGCAAATGTGTCAAAAGCCATGAGGAGAGTTTGAGTTTAATAGTAAACTCAAGTGTGGTCACAGGGGGCTTGGGTATGAACAATAAGAGACATTCCTTCACTTTCCTTGCTCTTATCTCTTAGGAAATTCCTAGGAAATTTCAGAGCCCTATGCCAGGAACTGGGGACAAAGGAAATATGTTTTGGAAATATGTAAGATCAAACCCCAGACTTGTCTGAGTGGTCGAGGCTCTGAGCAGAAAGCGTGCACCTTGGGAAGCATAGATGGAAAAATGAAGACAAACAGAGGCGCTGGTTTCACTAATAATTAAAGTAACACAAATGAGAGCAACTGCCGGTGACCTTTATACACATGATACATGAACCAAAGTAGTAAAAACGATTAATCAATGTCAGCAGAGCTTTGGAGAAATGTGTAAAATGTGTACACCTACACGTCGCCACTGGCAGTATAAATTAATCCTTTATATCTTTTTTAAGATAAATCCACCTGTGTACACGTTCCACTGACATAATCCAAACTGAAAGATGATCTTTACAAAAAATGTTAATGAAACATCTTGCGTTATTCATCAAGGCCAAAGAAGACAAAGAAAGGAAAAGAAAGGAAAAGAAATCATTTCAAATGCCCTACAGCTGGAAAATGATTAAGGGAAAGATAATACGTTAATGACAATGGAATATGAGGTGATCATTAAAAATATTACGTGGGCAAAGTATAAACAGAAAACAGAAAATGGAAATATAGACATATATATTGGGGTATCATTCAGTGATAAAACAGCTTGGTGTTTTTAGAAAATGGGATTTTTTTCTGCTGTGAAGATATTTGAGAGTATAATAAAAATCCTTAAATTAAAATAAAAAATAAAGATAGAAACTTAAAAAGAGACTACATACCAAAACTTTGGGGAAATCATTTCTTAAGCATATATAACCAACCCGTTTCAATATTATTATGGTGCTTATGAAGACAGCAGCTATGAAAAACATAGTAATTATTCCTCCTATTTTGGCAGATTCTGATGACCCTGTTGACGAAAAATGAAATGACTTTATTTCAAAATAAATTCCAATTAATGATCACAGATGGGAATGAACGCACGTCTGGCTGATGATGGAATGAGGTATCAAAGGAGCAGACATTTGAAAAACTATTGTTCAACACAGTAGAATGGAAAGTAATCCAAGTATACATATTTTCCAAGGGTAAAAGTGGCAGATTTTTCACAGTAAAATGTCTTCCAGTTTCTTTCTTTCTTTTTTTTCTTTAAAGACTTTATTTATTTATTTGAGACAGAGAGAGAACACAAGCGGGGGTTAGGGGCAGAGAGAGAGGGAGAAGCAGGCTCCCCACTGAGCAGGGAGCCCTATGTGGGACTTGATCCCAGGACCCTGAGCTCATGACCTGAGCTGAAGGCAGACGCTTAACTGACTGAGCCACCCAGGTGCCCCTGTCTTCCAGTTTCTAATGATGTTCTATGACAACACTCTCCAACACAGTAGCCATGAGCTACACATGACTATTTACATTTAAATTACCAAAATTGAGGGGTGCCTGGGTGGCTCAGTTGGTTAAGCGTCTGCCTTCGGCTCGGGTCATGATCCCAGGGTCCTGGGATCAAGCCCCGCATTGGGCTCCCTGCTCGGCGGGAAACCTGCTTCTCCCTCCCCCACTCCCCCTGCTTGTGTTCCCTCTCTCCTTTTTTCTCTCTGTCAAATAAATAAAATCTTAAAAAACTTTAAATTAATTACCAAAATTGAAAAGAAACCCCACCAAACTCAGTTTTCAGTCATCCTGGTCACATCTCAAATGCTCAATCGCCACCTGTTAGTATCGTTAAAAAACAAAACTCCAGGTCCAAAATGGAGTCATTTATGCCTGGCCCAGGCCACCACACTGTGGTTTAATAGCTAACCTGATTGCATTATCAACTTCCCCCAGGACTGTAATCTTAACTGGTCCTTCTGGAATTTCCTGCTCTGCACCATGAGGTAATCCACCTAATATAATAAGACCACTTTGTCCCCCAAAGGGAGGTGACTTCACTTTCTGTGTGATTTCCTTGTCCTGCCTTTAAAAACCTTTCCTTTTCCATAGCCCTTTGGAACACCTCTCTACCTGCTAGATGGGATGCTGCCCAATTCCCAAATCGTTCACTAGAGCTAATTAGGTCTTTAAAATATACTTGAATGTCTGTTATTTAACAATATGCCCTACAGGTGGGAAGAGGTGGAAAAGAAGAATTCGTCTGAAAGAAAGAACTGGATCATTCTGAGGCTGGACTTCGGCCACACCAGGGTTCTACCGAACCCACTCTGTCCTACTGAGTGCCCCTTAAGTTTCTCATCAAAATTCCTTTTGGAAAATTTCAACCTTCTGACTGCAAGTAGCTTTTTAAATTTTGTTTTCCCATCTCTCTGCGGCAATGTAAGCTCCACGAGGTCAGGGATGTTCAATTTTATTTGTTTTGTTCGCTGCTGTCTCCCCGGAATCTACGAGAGAATCCAGCATATAGTAGGTTCCCAATAAATATCTGTCAAATGCATGGATACCGCTCTCCCTCAAGGCCTTCCTGAAAGAGCCAACCAGTTAATTTAGGACTTGACCAGAGGGCAGACATTTCTCTAGATCTCTAGACTAAACTCTCCCCAGATGAGCACTCCCCTAAGATAGCAGTGTTCACCCCCAAGTCTGAGGAAGTTAACACCGGTCCCAGGTTGTCTGTCAAGAATCTCCCACCATCTGAACCTGTCTGGTTCCCAAGCTGGGCTAGTTGAAGGTAGTTCAGATGGCAAATCTGGACAGTGAGGAGTCCATGTTATGTGTACCTACTTGGTTCCTTAGTTTCAGACAATAAGAATTGAGACATCATTATTTGGATCGTGAGGGACACCTCCACTTGCACTGTCTTGGGTAATGATACAAGAAGGGAGACTGATTTAATATGCAAAATGATGTGTTCACACCAAGTAAAGATGAAATGACATGACAAGGTGCTGTTGCACGACCATTTCTTAGCGGGTGAGACAGAAAAGTCAGGGAGAAACTGAGTCACCACAGAGCATGTCAACCTCCAAAGAACGCATGCCTTTGGTCTCAGACTTACATTCGTCTTCCAGGTGGGGACTGTTTCTGCAAACCACCGTCTGTCGTGTCATATTACTAATTTGAGTTTTTATTGGTGAGATTGTGATTTATAATAATAAAAAAATATATATTTGGTCTTTGTCCCCAGTTCCTGGCTTGGGCTCTGAAATTTCCTAGGAATTTCCTAAGAGATAAGAGCAAGGAAAGTGAAGGAATGTCTCTTATTGTTCATACCCAAGCCCCCTGTGACCACACTTGAGTTTACTATTAAGGAGGTGACTTTTGGAAAGCCCCTAAGGATGGAGGCTGGTTGCCAGGAGAACCAACTGGTGATTAGAGGGCTGGAAATTTCAACACCACACCCGGACCTCTGGGAGCAAGAGAGGGACTGGAGGTTGAATTAATTGTCAATGGCAAAGGATTTAATCAGTCCTCCCTTTGTAATGAAGTCTGCATTAAACCCTCAAAAGATAGGGTTCTGAGAGCGTCTGGGTTGGGAAGTTGGGGGGGTGGTGTTCTTGCTCTAAGAGGGCAGAGAAGCTCCCTGCCCCTCCCCTCATACCTGGCCCTATGCGGCCTGGGTCAGGCTGTTCCTGAGTTGTATCTTTTTGTAATCAACCAGTAAAGAAATTGTTTTCCTGAGTTCTGTGAGCCATTCTAGCAAATTATCAAACCCAGGGAAGGGCTTGTGAGAATCTCCAATTTATAGCTAGTCGGTCTGACATCCAGGTGGCAACTTTGAGTTGCAACTGGCGTTCGAAGGGGCGGTAGGGGCAGTCTTAGGAGAATGAGTCTCTACCTCCAGGTAGATGGTATCAGGACTGAGTGAAATTGGAAGGCAGCTATGCTCACCACTATACAGGACTGAGTGAAATTGGAAGACACAGAGCTGGTGTGGGAGGATTGCTTGGTGTGGGGAAAGCCCCCACACCAATGGAACACAGGAGTATTCCGTGCATGAGGAGAGGAGAAAAATAGTTTCTCCATTCAATTGGTTTTGTTTATAGGACCATGGAATAATAATAATAATAATAATAATAATGATACAAAATATCTGCTCTTTGTCCCTAGTTGTTGGCACAGAACATCAATTTCCTGAGTGATAGGAGTGTCTTTTGGGGACCATATGTGAGTTTATGCTAACGAGGTGAGGTAAGGCAGGGTGCTGGATAGCTCCAGGATGGGGGCTGGTCACCAGAAAAACCAACCTAGTGGTTAGAGATTAGGAACTTCTGGCCTCACTGTCCTTCAGGGAGGGGAGAGGGGCTGCAGATTGCATTTAGTCACTAATGAATGATGATTTAATCAATCATGGCTACATAATGAATCCCAGTACAAACTCTGGACAGCAAGGCTTGGGGAGATTCTGGGTCGGTGAACACATGAAAGTATTGGGAGGGTGGTGCCCCCTAACTCCAAGGGGACAGGAGTTCCTGCCCTATTAAGTCTGAAGGGAGGTTGTGGGAACCTCTGGATTTGTAGCCAGGATGGACAGAAGTTTGGGTGGCCAGACTTGCAGCCAGCACCCGAAGGGAGCAGTCTTGGGGGACTGAGCCCCTTTGTGTGGGGGGCCTACACTAACTCCAGAGAGTGTCAGAAATGAATTGCATCGTTGGACACGTAGCTGATGTTGGAGAATAGGTATTAGGACGTAAGTATGCAACTTTGTTTGGGGTTCACATTTTTGTAAGAGCTACAGGCCTAAAGAATTTATATGCAAGTTTAGGTTTGCCTGTATTTAACTGACGCTATAATAATGATTTAAGCTAATGCTTTCCCCTTTAAAGATACTCTAAAGGAGATACTTTTTCCTTTAAAATTGGTCTGTGCATCATCCAACCCTGAGAAACACAGGAGAGTAAAATCACAGGGAGCACCTTCATGCGCCAGGCGCCAGGCACTGTGGAGTGTAGTTCCCTTAACCCACAAATCAGCCCTACCGTTCGTTGACTGTGCTTCCTTCTGTCTCACCTTATTGTCGTCATCTGGCAAATCAGAACGTTAAAGAAACTCTCCTCGGGGTTGGGAAATTCAGAAAGGCTTCTTTGGTGGAGATTTTCACTTTTGGCAAAACAGTCAGAGACCTAGTTACTTCCTAGGCAAATCAGCAGCAGCGAATGGTCCTAAGCCTCATTGTTCTCACTGCAAATTTCTCCATTTGGCAGGGAAGGATCAGGGACTATGCTGTTTACTATTCTGATGCCTTTGCAACAGAAGGACTTCTCAGCCTTCATCAAGGACTATCTCATTCACACTGGTGAGTTTTCCTTCCGTCTTCGAGCTACAGCCCACCTTCCTGCGAGGCAGGCCACATCAATGAGCCACACCCAACCTCCATAATTTGACCCTCTGATATCTTTGCCTGCAATTGTTTCCGACAACTCTGCCTCCTCCAGCCCTTGGCTTGAGTAATGGCCACGCTAAGGGCACCCAGAACTGAATTTCATCCTGACTCTCTGAAATAGAAGCATTTCCACTTTAGGAGGATCTGACTTTATAAAGGTAGATATGGGACTGTCCCTCTGGTATGGCACCTTCAAAGTGACTCCAGCACTTGGTTGAGACTGACCAATAGAACACATCTCCGTCCATGCTCCATGACTTTCAGATTCTTCTCATTAAATAGGTTTTCCCGCAGAGTAAAAGCAACACATGAATTTTTAAAAACTTATACCTGTCTCCTGTGCAGGTTGAAGGAGGGTACATTTTACTGGAGATCTATGGATTGCTCCCAGATTTCTAGGCTTAAAATAAACAGATACACAGTAGTTTGTGTTTGGAAGTAACTTGTCGATGACGTAAGTGAAATTTCCAATGACGTTTTCATTTAGTGTGGGGTTATGCTGTGAAAAGAAGCAAAAAATCGGAAGACTTTGACTGGAGAATTTCATTTAGAGGCAGGCCGGAGAAGTCTCTTTGGGGATTTGTCTTCAAATCTTAAACAGGGATAGAAATATCGTGGGTTTGAAAGAAAAAAGAATTTTTAAGTTATTTGGGGCCAGCAATTGATCACAAAACTGCATGTACGTGTATGCCACGCATACTTTCAAACCATGAAATCTAGTCTAGCGACTTCATTTTATAAATAAGTAGAAAAAGTTTCAATGAGGAATAAAGGTTTCCATGATGTCATTTTTATAAGATTATTTTGTCTTGAGTTAAGATAACCTAGCAAAAGTGAGAAAATAAAAAAAGATTATCTTTTTTCATTAATGATATGTGCCTACACTTCAGAAGTACTTTCATATATATGAATGAATGTGATTATTAAAATGGTCTGCAAAGTTGGCATTGTCCCCATTCTCCAGATGACAAAACTACTGCTCAGAGTGGTTAGTTAACTTTCCAAGGCCACACAGCTTGTTTGTGGCAGAACTGTGGTTGCTGTCTAATTTCTTATCTTCTCCCTTAAAACACCTTGCCTCTTCCTTCCCAGGTAGTTCTGTTCCAGTTTGGAATTAAAGAGATGATATGAAGGTTCTTTCAAGAAAAACAACTTCTCCATAACGTAGGTTCTATGAATTAGGATTTCCAGCAGTTCAAATACAGCCTTCTGTAATAATGTTTTTCTCAACTTTCTGTTTAGAAGGAGGAAGAATTAAAAAAAAGAAAAAGAAAAAGTCCTAACGAACTAAAATCTCATGCATGGCCAAGAAGCAATGAAGAAGAAAAGGGGGAGAGAAGTAGAAACTGCCTGAAAGAGGAACAGCCAATGGTAGCTGAGAGTCAGAATATCTGGGTCCCACACCTGGTGTTGCCATCATGTGATCCTGATGAAGTCTGCAATGCTTGCTTCCTGTTTCCCTAAGCAAACAGATATGCCTCCGTGCCTGACAATTTTGCCACCCCCACTGTGCCTCGGATGCCCAGTCCCTGCTCTGAGCCAAGGCCAACTCCTTCCTGTGCTCATGAGATTCCATCCATTCTCATCTTCTCTACAACATGGCTCCACCAATCCCCCGGAACATTCCATCTGCACATGAACGTGCTGTAACTTCTTCCACTTTAAAGTGTCCCTCCTTGACCCCACTTTCCACCACAGAGTATCTCTCCTTCTCTTTATAGAAAAACTCCTTAGAAGAATTAATTAGCTTTCTTCACTGTCTCCAATTTCTCGCTTCCTTCTCTTTCTGGAATCTATTCCTACCAGATCCTCACCCCAACACTCCATCGAAATCACTCTTATCAGGGTCACCAGGACTTCCATGTTGCTAAATCCAATCATCAATCCACAGTCCTTGTCTAACGTGTCCCATTTATAGCATTTGACCCAGTAGATCACTTTCTCCTTCTGGAACTTTCTTTTCAGCTACTAGGATATCACTCTCATCTACTTCTCCTCCTAGAGCTGTTGGTTGCTCCTTCCCTGTCTCTTTTGCTGTTTCCTCATTTGCTAGATCTCTACATTTTGAGTCCTCTGGGGCTCTGACTTTGAACATCTTCTCCCTGCATATCCACTTCCAAGTGATCTCATCTCTCCTCAAGGTATCAATATACTCAAAGAAGCCGATGACTCCCCCGGACATTTCTCCAGCTAGAAGCTCTCCCCTGAACTCTAGACTTGGAGACTTTAACTCCTGCTCAATATCTCCTCCTGGATGCCTTGTGCGCACCTCAAATTTGACATATCCAAATCTAAGCTACTGAGATTCAACCATCCATCTCCTCCGTCTGTAATCTACCCCATTTTAATGAATGGAAGAGCATCTATCCAGATGCTCTTGTCTCTTTGTTCACCACGCTGCACATCTAATCCATCCAAAAATACTGTCGGCTCCACTTGCAAGACATATGTAGAATTTGACCACTTCTCATTGCTGCCAAGGGCCCAAGTCACCACCAGCTGTCACCTGGATTCCACCAGTAGCCTCTTCTTTTTTTTTTGATCTAATTTAGTCCAAAGACCATTTTTCTTTAATGAAGAAAATGCTCATTAACCACCATTTCCCCCTTACAGTGTTGTCAATATCTTAATAAGCATAGTGCTCTTATTTTAGAAATAATAATCTCAAACAGAGTTAGTAGCTCATGGGTTGAATATAAATTAGATGTGACTGGATTATGAATTTAAAGAAACTTGATACAGTCTCCGAGCTACATAAGCTTATTTCTTCCCTCTGTTATTTTTGTACCCTTTTCCTAATCAAAGGATTAGGGTGTTGATTATAATCCAAGTAGATATTATATTATACGATTTGCTACTTCCTACTGAGTAATTGCCATCATAATAGCCTCTTAACTGGTCTCCCATCTCTCTCCTCCCTCTCTCCAATGTGGCTCCTATGATCTATTCTCAATACACCAGGCAGGATGCCCTGGTAAAGCCTCGCATCCTTCAGTAGCTTCATGACACTCCGAAGACAGACTCACAAAGCCCCACAAGATCCAGGCCCCATTGCCTCCCTGACCTCACCTCCTTCTTTTTCCTGTCTTGGTCACTCCATTCTGGCTCCCTGCTGTTTCTCAAATCCACTGGGTCCACTCCTGCCTCAGGACCTCTGACTTCTGGTGCCCTCTGCCTGAAAAGCCCCTGCCCCTGATAACTTGCAGGCTGGTATTACGGGCAAGGGTTTATACTTGGCAAAGGGCTACGCCCATGCAAGCTGCTCTTACAGCAGAGTCTACTTGCGCTCACTCTACCATTTGGAATTTTGCCCTAGTGTGTGCTGAAATGAGCCTGTTCTCTTGGTCTACACCACACTCCTTTCTCTTTCCTGTGTGTCCCCTGATGTTGTGCATGTGACTTATTCTTTGAAAGAAGACCACACTGCTAGGCTAAGTCAACATATCTCCACAATGAAAGAACTATGGAGACTTCTTCCCTAAAGTCAGACCCCATTGCCTCAGACCCTTTAGCCTTAATTGTTCTAGTCATTACAAATGTCTTTTTTTAAAAGAAAAGAGTCAAATATATTCATGGCCAACTCAGAACTGTTTTCACCACTTACCTTCTTGACAATCCCCCCAGACTGTTCTTCGATGATGAGTTTTAAGTAAAACTGTAATACTTCTCCACGTAGTATCTTGGGAATGACAGGTGGGAAATTCACATTGACGTTAATGTGGTCCATAAGGTCAGCAATATCAAACTCTGGTGGTTCTAAAGATACTGTTTAGAAAACAAAATCAGAAACAAATCCCAGTGTCTAACCATACCACTCCCCGTGCTGTAACACAACCTGACTTCTTGACAACTACATTCTCTTTAACCTGCCTATGGTCCTAGTTGAGGCATGGGTTGTATTTTTTTTTTAATTGGTGGAAAACTGAGAACAATAAAAGTGATGTGATTTGCTTAATGGAGAAATAGAGGACAGATTTTGGGATGGAAGTCAGTCTTTCCCAATTTTCAGGCTGTATTCTAAACATGAAAGTAAAAATGACTTCTTTTCGTATCACAATAATACCCAACCATTGTAGAAATAGCCGAAAACACAGTACACAATTGTCCCTGAATGTGGTTAATTGTCTTTTGTCTATTGTGTGTGTAAATATATATACATATGTCTATAAACTGAACTAGGGTACACACACACACACACACCCATCTAAACTAAAATTAAATCATTCTTACCCACAGTTTTGCATGGTATATATTGCACCTAACTGATTTCATAAACATATTAATGCATATTTATCTCCATTGTGGGTTGGATTTCTGCACAGCCTGCCAATTTTGAGTGGTTTTTAGTTTTAAAAAGGGTTGCAAAGCAATGAAAGAAGAATAGGTGATATAGTGTACGATGTGTGGGCCATAAAGTCCGAAGTATTTCTTTTCTGGCCTTCTACGGAAAATTGGCTGACCCCTGATGTTCATCACGACTTTTCATGGTTGATTCTATTCCCCTAAGTGACTGATTGTACCATAATTTAACTGATTTGCTGTTTTGAACATGAGATTGTCTCTAACTTTTCTGAATAGAATCATTGCATCAGTGAGCATTCTAGGAGCTAAACTATGACATTTATCCACGATTGTTCTTTAGGATGAATTTTTAATGAGGAATTCTGGATTAGAGCAAGCAGGTGTTAAGGTTTTAACACATACTGCCAAATGCTTTCAGAAAGACCTCACCACAGTACACTCACTGCATGTCCCCTAAACCTGGGTATTTACATATTTTTTATATTTACCATCTTGAGTCTTGAAAAATGACATCTTTCTGACTTTAATATCGTTTCTGCAATAGTCTGAATACCATGATCTAGAAGTTGTGCTTTTCTTTCTTTTCTTTTTTTTATACACACACAGATATGTACATTTCTACACACACACAAACATATACACACAATTCCAGTGAATCTCCTATCTAGTTGTTTGTGACAGTGGGATTCGGTCATTATCACTTTGCTAAGCACATTACGTGTGAGTGCACACCCACACAGCCTTTAACGGGGAGCTGAAATAGAATCTTTCTCTTGGAAACAGGTTGCACATTAAGACATTGAAGAAGTGCTGGAGTGTGGCTGAGGACCACTGACACCGGGAATGTTAAGGCAAGTGCCATAGCAAGCTGACTCCAGTCATAGGGAAAGAAGAGAGAGGCAGACCCACTCTCGGGTTCCGGTCTTCTCTGAGTCTGGGAACTGACAGAGATAAGAGCTACTGGGTTATGATCCAGGGGAGGGGTTGCAGTATTAAGGAAAACACTGGCCCAAAGAGTTGCGACAGCTCAGATAGAGGCCATCTGGACCTCACTATCTACTTCCTGTCAGCTTCTGAAATATACCAGAAAGTAGTGGCCATTGCTGCCGGAATACCTGCCTCACTCAGGCATAGAGGAATCCTCTGCAAAGTACAGATCATCATCCCACCTTCTGGATAAGAAAACTGAGGCTCAGAGAAGCAAAGTAAATACTTCAGAGCTAGGAAAGCGGCAGGGTCAGGCGGTGCACCTAGGCCTGAGTCCGAGACACCCTTTGCAGACCTTTCTATTTCATGGCAAAGCAAATACTGATGAACTTGATGCTGCTGCTGCTGCTGCTGAAGATGATAAACAGAGATCCACTCACTGTGTGTTGCCAGGAAGAAATCGATGAAACACGTGACCAGTGTTGTGTTCCCTCTGAATCCATCAACTGTGACGGCATACGTCTCAGGCAGGACCTCCCACAAATCCGTTAGGTCACAAAATGATGCTGTGATATTTGAACAGTGCTCCACAATCTTCACATGGTCTGGTCTACTTTGAAAGGAAAAGAAATGATAAAAGGAAAACTTCAGCATTTATGTGATGAGAATCCACTAACTGCATGCCCAGCTTCTTCATTTCTTTATGGCTCTGCCCAAATATCACTGTATCAAGTCGTCTTCCCTAACCACTTTATTTAAAATGGAAATACACCTTACCCCATCGTGTCCACCCTTTCTCTCCTAATCCCTCTTGTCTGTCTTTATTTTTCTGCACACTGTTTACCAGCACCTACCACACTATATCTTTATTTGTTTATTGATATCTCTGCCTACTTTCAGAATATCTGCTCTAGGCCCCAGGAGGTCAAGGACTTTGGTTCATGGTTCGACCCCTGACAGGCAGTAGGTGCTCAGTAAATATTTGCTGGATGAATGAATGAGCAAACCTTACGCTTTCGTGGTAGAGGCCCCAGATCTCCCTGACCCCACAGAACAATCACAAGTATCCTCCCTGAAACCCTCTCTCCAGCTGAGGATCACATGGTCCAGTCCCAAGTCAGACTGTGCTATGTAGGGACAAGAGAGACATCTGATTTCTTGAGCTTCAGAAAGGTAAGTGGGTGGTACACATGACCGCCTAACACAGAGAGAAACTAAAACTTTGGCAGGCACCAGAGAAACTTGCAAGAGGCCTTCTACCGGGTCAGTCAGTGGTAGTAACAGCTATTAGCCAAATAAACAGCAAACAAAAGAACACTTGGAGGGGCAACTGGATCAAAGTAACAACTTAGAAGAGAGCCATTGAGGGTTCCATCCATTATGTCATTCATCTTTGCAGGCACCCCTAAGTAGGACACTCGGCTCAGAGAAGTTGAGCTCTGTGCCCCAAGGTCACGGCCGATCAGTGATCAAGCCAGACTGTGGACCTGGGCCTCTCCTGGTCTCGGCCAGGCAGCTTTCTGATGTGCCACATGGCTCCCTGAGTAAAGAAAAGTGAACCTAACATCAATATGGTCACCAGATCTTTGGACTCCTGTCCTCAGAAAACAGTGCATTCATTCATTCATTTATTTATTTCTTGAAAAACTGTGCTTTAAATGTCCAGATTGACTGAGTTAGAGAAATAACTGTGAAAACCATTCATAGTAATTATTTTGCTTCTGCAGCTCTGACCCATAGAAATGACTATAAATACAAGCTTTGTCAAAACCAGTTTGAGGTTGTTAAAATACTCAATTCAATTAAAAGTAGACTTGGACTTTTAAAGCTCTGAACTCAGAACAGAGAGAGAGAGGGAGAGAAGAGAGGAGCTCTATCACAAGGAAGATCATGACCCTTCCCCACTCCCCAATTAATAGAAATAGAATATATTTAACAAGAAAAAAATGAAATGTCAAACCAACCTTATAACTGTGTACTGTAATGTATAGTGATCTGGTACAATTGAATGGTTTTTTAATTCCCATGATAAGATGACCCGGAAATTGCGTAATGTCACCTTGAAAGTGCAAGATTTATCTGATAAATCTAAAGGAAACAGGAAAGAAAAAAGAAACACTGAAATCTGGAACCCAGGGTTGTCCAATCGGTCCCTTGGGATCTGGAGCCCACACGCCCAGCAGAGAAACCCCAGGGTCTTGGGAACATGGGAAGGACATGGTTCTAGTGGACACGAGAAATGAAATAACATAACTAATTCATGAGCAACACATCGTTAGGGCAGGCAAGCTTAGGAACCAGAACTCAGCACTGTGGAAACAAGATTTGGGCTCCCTCATGGACTCTCAGTGGTTATCATGGACTCTCAGCGGTTATCACGGACTCTTAGCGGTTCATCAGATCAAAACGATCTGTGTCCACCTCATTCTCTCAACTCCAACTCCTCTTATAGCCCCCTAAGCGGCTTGGCCCACCACCTGCTTTCCCTCTGCTAAACTTCCCATTGCATTTATTCCCTGGTTACGGAAGGAAGGGACGGATAATGCATGTCAAGACTGGCCCTTTCCAGGCACTTAATCTGAGCAACAATGCTGAAGTCAGTGCTAGGAAGAGACCCATTCTACGGACCGTGAAACTGAGAAGCTGAGTTACATAATGTTATGTAGCTGGGAAGAGGCAGCGGCAAGTGAGATTCGAAAGCTATAGTGGTCAAATCCCATTCAAATTCAGGTCTTTTCTTTCTTTTTTTCAAATTCAATTTTTATGATCCTCTAAGTTGCCTGTGGTTTGGACCTAGGACTTTGCTTCTTGGCTGCGAACTCTTCATCCCATGTGCTCATCACAAGGTTGGATATAGAGTTAATGCAGAGTGAGATTATGTGGACAGATTTATAGGTGTAGGCAAGATGTTTGGTTTAAAAAGAGTATTTTCCTTTATCTGGCACCAGGTACCAGAGAGCACCGGGAAGAATGCAAATTAAGGGGAAATTATTTCTGGATCGCTTTCTGTTTGACAGTCTGTGCCTCCTCATTCTTCGATTAAGGGGTTTGAAATTGAATATTCTTTTAAGGAGTTTTAAAATGACTTCTGGTGTTTTCTTTCTCTCTTTTTTCTTTTTGGTATTAATTTCTTACAAGAGTTTTGGGAGACAAATGTGCAAATTTGGCTAAATTTCGCTCCTTTGGCAGAGGAAAAAAAAGAGAGTATTTGAGAAAATCTAAGAAAAAGGATTCAAACAAAATTGGCAACACATCTGGGATCAGAAATCAAATTCCCCACATTTTAGACTTCTGAATGGTTGCCCCAGTACTCTGGCCCTTCCACAAAATTCAGTCAAGCCAAGAAAATCTCTTACCAGGCAACGAAGATAACACACCAAACACAAGGCTGATACACACTAGGAAGAAGAAAAATATATTAGACAAGCAAAAATACTCTCTCCAGCCTCAATTTGTAATTCTCGCTCTGAGTCTGGCATTCTTTCGTACATGTCTTAACGTTGGATTGAGACTTCCTTGTGCTAAAAAAAAAAAAAGGCTCAAGCAAATGGTTCTTGGAGGATTGATGTGGGTATCATCAGCACATGGTCCATGGGTTTCAACTTGATTGAATCCAAAATGAGATCTATCTGGGGGTTGCTGTGAATAACAGGGCTGATGGGTTGGGAGAGAGCCCCGAGAAGCAGCTAGCTACGTGTCTGGAAAAAGTCTCAGAATATGAATACGCATATTGTCAGTTAATACACTTTAAAGGTTAAGACATTTGTCAAAGGGGGCGTAGGAAGAAAATCGCTGGTGATGGGAACTGGGGACTCTCCTTTGCTTTCTGGCTGTCACAGTGACTTGGGAAGGGAGGGGTTACAGGCATGGGCAGCCCTGCATAGGGGAGAAGTGCCCCCTCATGGATCCCCTACTGGTAAACTATGGAACAGATGACCCAGGGACACTGAAATAGAATCAAAAGAAAGGTAGAGAAAAAGCGGCATAGGACTACAGGAAAAAAGTCAAGAATAAATGAAGCCCAGAAACCAAAGTTCAGGGCCGACTTTTCAGTCTGGTGAAGCAGTGGGAGATAAGGGGTTTGGCCTCTTCCTAAGTAGGGGAGTAGAGTGAGAAACTCCGCCCTGGATTAGAATGAGGGTATTAAGAGAAATTCCTCTTCAAAGTGCCTTGGAGGATACTCTCCATCATTATGGAGTCATTCTTGTTTGTTTGTTTTCCTAAAATTAATAGTAGGGCGGAAACTCCAGACCCTCAGTGCAGGTTTCCTATCTACGTTCCATTTGGCTCTTGGCATTGGACAGGCTGATGTTGGGCCCCTAGTCAGGGACATCCATTTGCCACTCCCCAGTAGGGCTCCAGGTGATGGCAACTTGGCTGGCTTGCTCCTACAAGAGCTCCAACAAAAGTAACACTTACCCACGAGAAACAGATTCAGTGATCTAACCGGGGAAGCATGCTGGCTCCAAAGCATCTTGGTTATTGTCTTTACTTTCACATCTGAAAGGAAATCGATATTAGGTGATCCCAATGCTGAAGCATGTAATTAAGTGACAAAGATAAAAGTGGACGAAGACAGGACAACAAGAAAGGAGCAGGATGTTTCCACTTCTAGGATTCCTTTGCCCTCCTGGGAGCCAGACCTGGGACCAATTCCCTGTCCAGTCACAGAGAAGTTTTATTTATTTATTTTATTTTTTTTTATAAAAAGATTTCATTTATTTATTTGAGAGAGAGAATGAGAGAGAGAGAGCACGAGAGGGAAGAGGGTCAGAAGGAGAAGCAGACTCCCCGCCGAGCGGGGAGCCCGATGCGGGACTCGATCCCGGGACTCCAGGATCATGACCTGAGCCGAAGGCAGTGGCTTAACCAACTAAGCCACCCAGGCGCCCTATTTATTTTATTTTTATTTTTAAGATTTTATTTATTTGTTTGAGAGAGAGAGAGAGATAGCAAGAAAGAGCATGAGCAGAGGGAGAGGGAGAAGCAGGCTTCCCACTGAGCAGGGAGCCTGACGCGGGGCTCGATCCCAGGACCCTGGGATCCAAGGCAGACCTTAACCAACTGAGCCACCCAGGAGCCCCCAGGAAGAAGTTTTAAATTTAACTTTGGAATAGGCGACAGAGTTATCTGTTGCCAAAAACAAACAAAAGTAAATAGCAAAGGGTCTTGCTACCTTCAGAAAACTACTTTCTACTAATTCTTTGGTGAGTCCTTCAGAATATCTTTAAGCACAAGCAAAACCAAATATATATTATTTCTCCCCCCTTTTTAACACAAGAGATAAGAGATACGTTCCCTGTCCTACTCCTGCTTTTTCTACTGGACGATATATAACTGGGAGATCATCAGCACCCAAGAGAATTTCCTTGTTTTTTTTTAAAAAGCAGTTGCATAGTCTACTCTATGGACACACTACCATTTAGGTAATCAGGCCCCACGATAGATGTCTGAGTTGCTTCCAGTCTTTTCTGCAGTGGATTATCTTGGACACGCGTCATTCTGCATGTGTGCGAGTCTAAGCGTAGGAAAACTTTCCAGAAGTAGGATTGCAGGCAAAAGGTCATACCACTCATGGTCTCAGCAGAAAAAAGATATTTGAATTAGGATATTTTGAGAAAGACTTTAATCAAGGGACTATTTACAAATGTGTGAGCAGGATGTAGGCAAACAATAAGGAAGAAGGTAGTACCTGGAGCTAATAACGGTGGGGCTGTTACCATCCTGGGCTTGGGCAAAGGGAAGGTGCTGGAATTTGGTAGGAGAAAATCCTGTGGGAGCCCAAAAGGATAGTGCAGGGAAGTGGCAGGGGATGGGAGGGTAAATACCCTTCACTGTCTTTCTTCCCTTCTCTTACTTGGGGCTCATCACTGGCTGATCCCGATCAGAAGTCATAGGACCAGGGTGCTGGTGGCTGTGCCCTAACAAGACAGGATCCCAAAGCAAAGTAAGGGATGACAGTGGGGAGGCTGGGTCTGGAGGGGTAGATGGAAGACACCTGACACAGAGGGGCTCTGCACTTGTAATTTGAATAGAAACGGCCACTCTCTTGCCCTGGGGGCTGTATGACGTGCACTACCACCTGTGATATGTGAGAATTTTTCCGTCCACCACAAGCTCTTCACCGAGGCTGCCATCAAGCTCTTGGATTTTTATTTTTTATTCTTTTTAAGATTGTTTATTTATTTATTTGAGAGAGAGCATGAGCAGGGGGAGGGGCAGAAGGAGAGGGAGAAGCAGACTCCCCACTGAGCAGGGAGCCCGATGTGGGGCTCGATCCCAGGACCCTGGGACCATGAGCTGAGACGAAGGCAGACGCTTAACCGACTGAGCCACCCAGGCGCCCCGCTCTTGGACTTTTTAAAATCAAATTCATAAATAAAAAATGTTCTTCAGACTAATACAAATTTATATTTCTCTTATTCTGAGTTAGTGTCCGTTTTCATACATTTAAGAGTCACTTGCATTTCCTTTCTTGTTAACTGTTATTTTTGCTCATTTTTCTACTGAGTTGTAGCTTTTTTCTCATACTGGTTTGTTTGCAGGAACTTTTTAAATATGAGCAAAAGTGGCCCTTTGTCTATGATACAAATCACATCTTTTCCTCTTCTGTTGTCAACCTGCCCTTTGATTTGCTCATGCTGGATTTATTTTTTTATTTTATTTTATTTTTTATTTTTTTAATATGAATCAGAAAACTGATTTTTTTTTTAAGATTTTATTTATTTGTCAGAGACAGAGAACACAAACAGGGGGAGAGGCAGGCAGAGGGAGAGGCAGACTCCCCGCTGAGCAAGGAGCCCTATACGGGACTTATCCCAAGAAACTGGGATCATGACCCGAGCTGAAGGCAGACGATTAGCCAACTGAGCCTCCCAGGTGTCCCTCATGCTGGCTTTAAAAAAAAAAAAAAAAAATTTCATGCATTAGTTTCTGAGTTGTATGTTTTCAGATTTAAAGCTATTTTCTTTCTTGGCATCTGCATTTTGAGTCATAGTCCGAAAGCGTTCTTCACTCTATGGTGAGAAATTCTTTGTGAATTTTATGGAGCCCCCCGCCCCCCGCCCCCCGCAATGGGTCTTGTTCCTTCTCTGCCTTGGGGCTTTTGTCTCCACACAAGCAACTGGGCCCTATCGATTCTGGGTGTTCTGTCCCCTCCAACACTGTAGCAGCATCAAGCCCCAAGTGGAAACTGAAAAAGGACCACAAAGCGGCAGACTTGAGTTCGAGCTCAAAACAAATTAAGAAAGTCCTCTTGATTATCAGGGTAACAGGTCCCACCCAAGGTGCTCTCCTGGAGGAATCCAAGACATTCCAGGTTAAAACTGCTGTCCCTGCTGAAGACTCCACCACCCATGAGATGTCCAGGCACCTCTGCCTATAACTTAACCCCACTATACTGTGCCCATTTAGAACATCTATAGAGACCGTTGTGACGTGTGACCTTGTCTACCACCATTACTCCCCAGCAGAGGGCCTGCATGGTTGTGGGCATTCCCTAAGATGCTGGGCACATCTAGAGTGTAGAATTCCACATGGAGGGGTGGGGAGAGACACTCCCTTGCACTTGACCATCTGCCCTGTGGCCCCTCGCCCTTCTGTCTTTTCCTGATGGTGGTACATCTTCACCTCTGTTCTGCATCTATAGAACACTTGGTTTCTTCCGTGGTGGACACACACACAAAATTACACAATTATAAGTCCCTCACCCTCTGTGGGCCAGGGGATGTCTCCTCTCCTCCTTTGTTCCTGATGACCCATACCCCACTTCCAACCCAATGTCAGGTAACTAGATTCCCGGTTGTTTGGAAAATCTAATTTCCTGTCTCAACATCCTTCCTGGAATTGTTGAATGAGGTGCCTGGAACCTCCGTGATTACCAATCAGCCTTCCTAAAGCACAGCTATTGTCACTCCCATCTCCTAGCCAGCCCGGGCTGGCTTCGCTCCTCCCCCACCTCCCCCAGCCCCGTCCTGGGTCTCGCAGGCAGAAGGGATCCACACTCGCTTTACTGCTCTCCCGTGGCTGTCCTGAAATTCTTAATAATTTTATCTTTGAACTTGTGTTTTGTTAGTGAAGTCTGATGGGACAGTGGGACACACGGTGAGCTGGTAGCCTCAGCTCACACTTCGTCTCGCCACCCCCTTCCCCTGCAGGATGGGGTCCCAGGCCCTGTCTGGCCTCTCTCTCTACCCTGATGAACTTTGTGTGGGGGCGGCAGCTGGGTCACATCGTGTTGCCTGGATGCCCTCCTGGTGTGTTAGACAGGAGGGGGCCAGCTGCCCTTCCCCCCAGGCTGGCCATGCCCTGCCTCACCCAGAAGGGCAGCTAGCTGGACTGGTGGGGATGGGCATCTAGGTCAGCCTTGATCCAGGTACCTAGCATGTCCAAGGGCAGAGGTTTAAAGACCTTTGGACATTGCTAGTATGCAGTGGGTTGAGATAACAGGTCCTTGGGCAGGAGGGATTCAGGGCTGGACTTTCCCAGAGCCCAGCCCAAACTGGGGTGCAGGTTGGCTAGCAGGAGGGGGATCCTAGCATCCCTCAGGCTCCAGGGCACATGCACCCAGAGTTGCAAGGGGCGGAGTGGCATTGGGCACCTGCCGGGAGCTGCACTGGCCCCTACCATACACCTGGGCATAAGGGAATGTTTCTGGGGCTGTGTGCCTGGGGAACCCCCTTTTCTTTCCTGAGTCTGGCCTGCATTTGTCTCTTCCGGATAGTTTGAGGTACTCTCTCCAAATGTTCCCTGAGATGCCAAGTTGTGTAATTCAATGATTCCCCAATGTGAATGAAATGCTCTTAGATCTGGTTTTGCACAATATGAAGTAGAATGGGGGAAATTCCTGCTATTAATGTAAATTTTTTTTTTTTTTTTTACTCAGGACGACATTAAATGGTAAATATGAAAAGTGACAAGTTGAGAGACAGAGACAATGGAAGAAAAAGCTTTATAAGTTTAGGGCCTTCAGTTGTACCTCTTGCTCTGTAAACATGGGGGTTCTGCATTTCTATTTTGCTCCGGGCCCCACACAGTCTGTGGCTCACTGTCATCTAACAAGGCATCAAGTGCCCTGGGTTGAATTCAAGGCTGTCCTCAGCCTCCCCAGTTTTCCCAGGAGCCACTGCCCTGCACAGGCGCCCAGCTCGGGGTGCCTCTCACCCAGCTCTGGCTCTCCTCTCCATTCCTCCTGGAGCGACCCTTGTCTCTGATCCCTCAAAACGGCTGATTTTCAGGACCCCGCTCAATTGCACCCTATGGGGTGAAGTGATTCTTGCCTGAATTCCAACTCCTCCTAAACAGACAGACAGACAGCCCTCAAGGAGCCTGCCTCCCAGTCTCCTAGTGGAGAACATAAGGGTCTTTCCTTGGTCGTCAATGAGTAATGAATGGACTGGATTCAGAAATACTAAACAAATGCAATTACGTAATCCCCCCCCCCCTGGAAATTAGGAAAAAAATACAAAAAAGTAGAAAGAAGAAAGTAACAAGCAACCTTATTTCGGCTGCCCAGCATCAACCATTGTTAATATCTTGGCATGTTTGTTTCTAGTTGATGTTTCAAATGCCTTTCTTGTTTCTGTAGCACTTCTTTTGTGTGCTCATTAAAAAAATTAAGAATGCATAAAAGTGCAAATTCCAGCATCCAAATATTTCCATCATTAACAGGTGAACATAATCCCAG